ATCTAAACCTCCTGTCTATCTGCAGCACCAAGGTTAGTGCAACTCAGATAATAAGTGTAATTTATAAGAATATAAGACAATGAATTAGCTTCTGCTTTAGGACAGGTTAAGATTCTGACCGTGGAGAGGAGGAGAGTATTATGACAATAGTCTGTGTGATTTTCATAGTTACATTTTCATTATAGTCCATTCCTGGGTAATGAAAAATGATATCCCTGGTATCTTCAGGGCTGCCTGGTTCTCTCTTCCTTTATGGCTTATCCCTTATTTTTTTCAGGCCTTTACCTATATATCACTTCAGTGAGGCCTTCCCTGACCACCTTATTAAAACATCATCTCATCCCAACTCCCTGCCACTGGCATTTCTTATTCCTCTTCCCTGCTTTATTTTTTTACATATAGAGCCTAATCTATACTTTACTTATTTATCTTGTTTATGGAGTATTTCTTCCTACTGTGATGTGAGCTCCATGAAGACAGGAATGTTTTGTTTGTCTTGCGTGGTATCACCGGCTGCCTGGAATAGCGCCTGGTGCGTGCATGTTTGATAAATATGTTGAATGGATGATCTGGATTGGCAGGAATGAGGACAGGTAAATGTTAGTCGTTTCATCATTTAGGAGTACAAGCTGTAAAGGCTAAGCTCTCCCTTTTGAAATTCTAGGGTATAGTATAAATTTACTTTGGTTTACCTTTTAGAACCTTTGGAGTTTTGTCTTATGGTAGGTAAACTTCAAATCCTTTCATCAGAGATACTTTGAAAGGAAGGATGAAGGGATTAGGAAATGTATATGGCGCAGGACTTTTTGTAGTGAAGACTTTAGTAAACTAAAACTGAACCAAGGAAAACTGAAGGTGAGGAAGTAGAACTGAACTCTCGTGTCATAGGAGTGAGAGAGCTCAGATACCTCCATGTCAAAGGGACTAACTATGCTTATATTCTAAATACACGTTTGCACACACAGAGACTATTGTGTGTGTGTTACGTAGTTATTTATATGTGTAACTATAGATAGATACATATATATAGCTGTTATTTTCTTTTTTGATAGGTCATAGTCGAACAGTTGTTGGAATTGAAGAGAGAAAAAACCGAACGTTATGTTTACTAATATTTGATCCTGGATGTCCTTCTCGAGAAATGCAGAAACTATTAAAGCAAGACATAGAAGCTAGCAGTCTCAAGCATCTTTGGAAATTTGTGGGAAATTTAAAGCATAAGCAATACCAGATAGTGGCAGTAGAGGGTGTTCTTACTGCAGAGGAGAAAATTGTAAGTATCTAAATATTTATTATTCGAAGCTTAAACAAGTTGAACTTGAGTTTAAAATTTTTACTTGAAGTCAGTATTATCCCTTTGTATCTCCAAACACCTTATTCTCTATATCATTAAGTTGGGAAAGATAGTTTGTTTTTATGTCATTTAATTTCTGGAATGGACATTTTAACATTTTAAATGGTACTTAATTGCTCAGAGCTTCATAAAAATACTTAATTTATATTAAATAATTTAATTTTTAATGTCAAGTGAGTGATTAAAAATGACAATCTATATAGCATATATGGTAAAAAAACCTAACTTAATCCAAGGAAACCTAACCCATGTCGATCTTACAGATATTGTTTATTAAATGTGATTCATGTGATTTCTGAGGCTCTTGCCATGCACTTGGGCTTGTTGGATGTACACAGTTTTAGAATTTAACTTCAGTACAGTTGCCTCTTTATCTCTTGCAGTGAAGTGATGAGTGGTTCATTACAGAAAAATTTTCAGGAATTGCAAACCCTCCACTTGGTATGAAAGAGCTATGTGGTAGCATACCAAGTCTAGAAAATGTGTAGTTCTCAGAATCCTAAAGAAAAAAGTTTCCCCATCCAAGTACTTCACGTTGATTTGTTCCCTCTAAAGAGGGAAGGGTGGACTAATGAGGAGCATTTATGGAGGATAGGATCATGGGGGAAAGGACTAGCGTTGTTTAAAGTGAGAGCGCGCCAGGGTAGTAATCTTTTTACCTCACAATGTGGAGTATAAAGGCACAGATTGTTTAAGTTTCTTTGCAGTGACTTAAATACCCAAATTGCATTGGGTATTTAAATTAATTATAATATTTTAATAACTGTGGCTGTTATTCAAGGGGTAAAATCAGTTCTTCAAAAATTTTTTATCCTGGTAACTGTCTTATAATTACCATAAGAAATTTCTGCCATAAACATATTTTGAGTATTAATTTAAAATTCTATTCTAGATGTTGGAGTATACTTATTTTTTTAAAAACCTCCTAATGAAATTAAGTGAAAAAATAAATACAAATCCACTTAATAGCCATATTCTTTCATTCTTTTCACATTTTGTTATGTTTTAGTTAAATTACATTTCTGTTTCCATGTGTAACCCTTATACTCTTAACTTGATTTAGCTTTGTTTTAGCTTGGTATAATATGCCTAGATTTGTAACTCAAGTTGTAAAAATAACACAGACATTGACATTTTTTAAGGTGGCATTTTTAAGGCCATAATGTATAAGATAATTTTCTTAAAGCTTTCTCTGTTCATAGCCGTCTATTTCTCCTTTCTGTTTTGCCCTTCTCTGATTGTGAGCCTGCTGCATGTTTACTTTGGGCTTATTATTCCATTTTTTTAAATGATATTTTCTTTTTACTTCTTTCTGTTTAGTCTTTATCTGGAATTTTATTTAATTTTTTTATGACTTGGATTTAAAAATGTTTATTCCTAATTTCTTAAATTCAAAATTGTAATGTTCCTTAAGAAATTTTCATTATTTTGAAAAAATATATAGATTTTCTTTTTTAAATATCAGAATGATAATATATATTCTAGTTAATTGATTTATTGCTTACAATTAACAATTTTTTTTATTTTCTTTTAAGGCCAGGAGACAAGCATCTCAAGTTTTTACAGCTGAGAAGATTCCTTGACGAATTAAACATTTCAGTGCTTGTGGAATTTTATTTCCAAATTCAGATATTAAACTCCTTAATGTAACTTACGGATCTGTGAATTGTCTAAATACTCAACTTTTAGTTTCTAAAATGTCTACATTATATCATTAGTGATTCACTGTTTAGAAATTATTTCAAAAAATATCTTGTTTGCATTGTGGGTTTTGTATTTCTTACCATGTTTCAGAAATTGATTTTGTATCATAGTCGTATGTAATATTGATTGGGTCCTTGTGTTAGGTAGTCTTAGTATTTTCCATGTATTAATTAGTTTTATCTTCAAAATAGTTCTGTGAGACAAGTTCTATTATTAGTGTGTGAGGAAGCTAAAACTCAGCAAGATTAGATAGTAATTTGCCTGGAAAAATTACCATAATTCAGGGTGTGAGCCCAGGCTCTCACTTCCAAATTCTTATCAGTATTTGGGTGGTGGACACACAATACATTATACAGATCATGTATCATGGAAATTACACTTGAAATCTATATCTTATTAACCATTGTCACTCCAATAAATTTAATTTAAAAATTCTTACTAATAAAACATGTGTTCTTCTGTTGTAAAACATATATAATGAAATTCCCTCCTCACCACTTAGAAATAACCTTAATATTTAAGACGTATAGCTTTGAAAAGAGGGATTTGCTTTTGTTAAATATTCACACACTGACCTATACAACATTAAGTGACCTGTAGGAGACACCTTCAGGTTCATGTTGGATGTGCCATAAAACGTTGAGTGAAAGAATCCTACTCTAGCCAACTTAAGCAGAAGGAAATTCATTGAAAGATTATCAGAGAGGCTCCCAGAATCCCTAGGTAACTAGGGCACTGTGCTGGACAAGGCAACTCTAGAGGCTGGACTGGTCTTGTTCGTAGCAGGAACCAGGTTAGGCGCCGAGGTGGACTGTCTGCTCACAGTTCAGGTTCCAGGGAAGGCCCGTCTGATGCCATGGTGTGTGCCCTGGACAGAGGCAGTTTCTCACAAGGAAATACGGATAGATGAGGAAATGGATATTAAACAACAAAAAAGAAAAACAACAAATGTCTGCTATACCACAAAAAACGTACTTGAATGAAGTTTTATAAATATTAACTCCATCAAATACGGAAAGTCGCATGCCAAGAATGAATAATACTGCCAATTGGAAAATTCTGGAAATCCTCCTTTCTGATACTTTGTCCCTCGGGTTTCTACTTCATGCCCCCCTGCAGTTACCCTTTCATGCCCTCGTGGCCTCTTACCTAGTTTACACGATAACCTGCCAACCGGGCTCCCTGTCTTGATCCTCTGTGGGTCCTTTCGTACACTGAAGCCAAGCGTTCACTACAAAAGTGACGTCTCACTTCCCAGTTGAGTCCTGTTCCTTGTTCATGGGTAGATGCAAACATCCCACACCATCTGGGCCCCACTAACGCCTCCAGGCTCCTCTCTCACCCTCAGGAGCCCACTCTTTTTAGCCCAGAGTCCTTTGCCAAAATACAGTTGGTGCGGCCTAGGACCTCTTTACATTTAGCTCCCCTCAGAAGTGCTTCCTGAACTGCTCGCATCTAAACAGCGGCACCTTCTAGGTGTCTGATACTCAGTGTTTGTAGATGGGTGACGTGCGAGCCGCCAGCAAGTGGCCTCGGTGCCTGGCGCGTGCAGTGCTTAATCCTCTAGTAAGTGAAGACACAGCTGTGGAGAAGCAGCGGTGGAGAGGATTAGGCTGAGAGCTGGCTATCCCAGCTAGCCATCTCTGCAAGCCCGTTTCTATAGGGTGAAAGATGTTAAGTAACAAGTAAAGAGGTTAAAAACGGAGTCTTTGAGTGGGCGATGGAATTAGAAACTCTCCCTTGACACTCAAAAAATATTGAACTGCCCAAGAAGCTTTTGTGGGCTATATATTTCCTTTTTCTTTTTTAAATATGTCTTTATTGATTTCAGAGAGAGGAAAGGAGAGGGAGAGAGAGAGACAGAAACATAATGATGAGAGAGTCCTCGATCAAGCCCACAACCGGGCATGTGCCCTGACCGGGAATTGAACCCTGATCGCCTGGATCCCAGGTCGATGCTCAACCGCTGAGCCACACCCGGCGGGGCGGGTTATATATTTTCATGTTTGCCATATTAGAAGTTAAACCTTAGACGTGGGGAAAAAAAATACAGAAACACATATTCCATTAGTTGTAGCTATCAGAACAGTGAAGCAGAACATGTCAGTCAGCCTCTGGAAAACCCACTGAGCATCTTCCTATAAGCACACACGAACAGTTCCAAATGTGAAATCCCCAGCCTGATGTTCTCATATACAGTTAGGCCCACATAAGTGGTACGTAGGCATCGGTCGCGTGGAAGGCGGCGGTTTTGCTTTAGCATACGTGCCGCTGGAGCAAGCCGCCGGTTTTGCTCCTCAGTCACGGTCCTCTTCCTCCTCTTCGTCTTCATCGGTTCCCTCGTTCTCCTCGGCCGGGAGGACAGCTGCTTGAGCAGCCCTGAAAGCCTGCTCTTCTTCCACACTGGGGTCATCCATTTCTGTGACTTCTGGTCCGCTGGGGTATTCCTCACAAACTGGTGGTGGAGCTGGGGGTGTATAGCTGTCTGGGCTGTATTTATGACCCCAGCCTATGTAGAGATTTTCAAACTTTCTATATTTAAAAAAAAAATGTAGATGATCATTATATAATTTTTCAGTACAAAAAGTTGACCTTCCTCTCCTGTAATGATAAAGTACTTAAAGTATCATAGTCCCATAATTTTAAAACAATACATTTAAAATTCATTAGAGGTGAAATACCCCTAAATGATTCCCCTTAGCACAGGGCTTTCTATGATCCAAGCTGCTTAAGCTGGTTAAGAAAACCACAGGGTTAGACCCTGTCAAGATGTACCCAAACCACAGCCTTTGATCATTTAATTACTTTCAGAAAGAAAAATAATAATAATAATTAAAAAGTTACCACCTTCATTAGAGTTAGAAAGAATTAAAAAGTTTCCAAACTAGCAAGCACTTGGCTGGAGGAGGAGTGGGCTTGTGGTTAAAGACCTGGCCTACATCACAGGAAAACTGCCCTGTCCACACCAGATTTGGTGCCCAGGCAGCACGCTGCAGTCTCTGAGGGGAGCTGCAGTCAAGGACTCTGGTCTCTGGCCTGTCATGCTCTTCACATGTTTCCATTCCTAGCTCAGGTGCCTTCACTCCTAGGTCTCTTTCTGAGACCTTCGGTAGAAGGTCTTTGGGTGTCGCTACCAAGGCCTCCTTATGGGGCTTGGGGGAGAGAAGGGGAAACCTTAAAGAAACTTTTCCCCACTCAGTATCCAGTACTCTTCCCTAGCTCTCCTCCACTTGCCCTGGCCCTCTGGTCCATAAAACTGCAAGAGCCTTATGATGGGGACTCTTATCAGTGAGACGACCCCACGCCTGTGCTGATCCATCTGACCTTCCACCATTGTGCCACTTCATGGGGAAAAATGGAACAGGGAGCGGGAGAGGGAATCAGTGCTTTTGCTTTCATTTTTGGCTTGTTGCTTTAATGACTATTCTGACATTTAGCAGCTCAGCCTCTCTTCAGCTCAGCTGAACTTCTGACCCTGGGTTATTAGATAAGAAATGGAAGCATAAGACTCAAGGAAGTGAGGGATAAAAGGGCATTTAGTAGCCTCTAGATCCTAATTCTCTTGACAATGATAGCCTAAATAATACATATTTTTAATTATCTTTAATCAAGATGTCCAACAAAAATAATGGGAGATTTAAACTAATTCAAACACTGCTTAGAATTACTTCAATTAAATGAATGCCAATTATTCAAACAACTATAGAAGAAAAACCATATTTAGCTTCATTAATTAATTTGGATGAAAAGGCAGAAGTCTAAATTAATCTAAATTTGATGCTTTACTGTATAATACAAATGTTTGGCTAAATCTTGCTAAAATTGAGTTAAAATAATATTAACTTAAGATTCCAGTGATACTTTATACTTTCCAGAACTTAAATAATCACAATAAAAACTTTGAAAGTTGTCAGATACTTACTTGCCATTGCAAAAGGCGTATGCCCCAGGCCAGAGGTTGGATCTGAGGACAGCAATAGCATATTGAGGGATGAGATTTGAAGAGAGTCGTGTTGTCCAAGGCGGTGTATTCTGCATCTCTGTACATCAATGAAAAATTCAAAAGCTTAACTCCTGCTTGACATAAAAAGAAAGGTTAAAACATCAGCAGCTAACATAAAACCAAGGCGGAATTTTATGAACACTATGGAATAATGAAATTTGGATATTTATACACTGTATAATGATGTCCTGTGTTTATGGTCATCTGTGTATGGCCTGCAGAATGCAAGACATAAATGATGCACAAGGTCACTCTCAGCATTTCAGTAAGAGCTGCAACCAACCTATACTTCCTACCTGAGTGCTACTTCTTCTTCTGTCAGAGAAAGTTGGTGGTTTGGCCAACAACATGTTTCATACCCCACCATATACTACAGTGAGTGTGTGTTTAGATATATAGATTTAGTATATATGCATAGTATATACATGTATACGACATACAAAATATATAGGACATTATTTCTACTATACATTTAATATGCTATATACATAGTATATGTGTATATAGTATCAAATATACAGAGTATATGTATACATCATGTACATATATGTACATATATATATATAGTAATATTGCATAGTATACATATACATTTGTGTAAAATTACCTAAATCTTCGGAGATTGGTGTCAAGAGAGGAGGCCCCACTTCCTGTTCTATGTAGTCAGGCTCTTCTTCTTTTTCTTCTTCTGCCTTTTCTTCATCTTCTTCTTCTTCCTCTTCACTTTTTGGTATGGGGTTGAACCAATTACAGCGACCCTGAGCATGAATATTGCAAGGTGAGGGCCTTAGAATATCCGAGTATGCATTTGGAGTGAAGCAATTATCCACACAAGGTTCTGCTCCGCTCTGTGGGAATCTAATCATTCATTCACTCATTCATTCACTCATTCAACATACATTTACCAAGTACTGTTATGATCTAGGTTTTTGCCTAAGCGAAAGGTTGTACTAGTTATTTCAAGAATTTGCCAACTTCTTGAAGTTACAGAACATTTATATTTTAAAATTAGCAGTGCCTTAATAAAAATAAGTTAATGACGCATTTTACTAATTTGTAATCAATAATTTATAAGGAAGAGATAAGGCACTATTATTAATAAAAATTAAATAAGATTAGCTATGGAGGTTCTAATTTCTGATCTAATTAACTTATCTAAAGATATATAAGAATATCTCATATGTGGGTCCAAGTATAACGAAGATTTTCTACCTGCAGACGAGGCACTATAGCAGAGTGATTAAAAGGATGAACTCTGGATCCATTGTGTCTACTCACATCTGACCCTGTTGTTTGTTAGCCATAGTACTCCTTTTACATTTCCTAAACTGTCTCAATCCCCTCATCTGTAAAATAAGGATAATATTAGTTTTTATACAGTGATGAGTATTAAGTGAGGTAATGCATATAAAGTGCTATTACAAGCACCTAGCCGAATACGTGCTATACAACTGCTACTTAAAACTGTTTGATTGTTTTTATTTTTATAATCTTTTATTGTTCTCGGCATAAAATCCCCATGTATTACAGAAACACAATAAAGGAACAGCTCCCTGAATTAGTGCACCCGTCTATATTTAACAAATAAAAAACAGTTTCACAACGCACACAAATCTAAATCCTGATGTAACTTGCCAAATACTTCATTGAAATAATTGTCTTATTTCTGTTTGGAAATAGAACTCTGTTGGAAGACCCCAGGTCTATACTAGTTGGCAATTATATAGTACCCTGTGTTTTTGCTTGATTTTTCAATGGTCTCTTTCTCTGTCTAGAGTCTGAATACACGTGTGCACTGTTGACTGAATTTAGGAAACATGTGCCGATTGGCTGGTAGACTGAGAACCGCAAAGCCCTACCTGAGGGAGAATATGTTGTGCGTGGTGAACCCAGTTGGACAGGGACTCCACTAGATCAACCACCTGGATGCCTTCAAAATCAGGGTTTTCTTCAAAGCTCTCTCGCCCGCCTTCTGACTCTTCCTCTTCCTCTCCTTCCTCTTCACCGAACTGATAGAATCCAAGAGGGCTGACATGGGTCCCTGCTGAAATTCTGGCAATTTGCGCTCGCAAGTAATTACTCTCATTTCCTGGGAAAGGTGGGTAGCTTATGATGGGAGTATCCAATCGCCCAGTGAAAAATTTCTTGATTTTTCTGGCAGTAACAATTTGTGCGGGCGTAACTGATGGTAACCTCACCCACGCTCGTCCTGGTTCATTGCAAACAAAGTAGACGTATTTGTTGGCACCTGTCCTGCTTTCCTCTTTTGGTATGGGCTGTGGGGCCTTGTAAGAGGGCCTTGGCGACTCCCCCTCGCCGCCCTCTTCACCTTCGCTCTCCCCGTCGCCCCTCTCTTCACTCACATCTTCCTCTTCCACCTCCTCTTCCTCTCCCTCGCGAAACTCCACTTCAGCTACAATATAATTCATTTCCAGGCCCAAGATCTTGCCCCAGAAGCGGCACCTCTGGATGGGGTGGGTGTCGGTAAGTTGCTTGAGGGCAAGAAATATGCGGTAAGTCTCATCTGTGCCCAAACCAACTCCAGCTTGTTCAAAATAAAACGCTGATTCCATTACATTTGGGAGAGGGTTTTCTGCCTGGGAAGACAAGTGCTGAGGTTAACGTGTTATCCGTAAGGAGAACTGCTTGCTTCCTGTTTCCCTTTTAAGCACTTGGGAATATAAAAGATGAAGAGACCACTTTCTCTGATATGAACACCTCAACCTCACACACGTGTCATAGCCAAGCCTGTGAAATATTAAGCCACAAATGTGAAAAAATAAACTTGAAACAAGGAAATGAGTGGTGCGAAGTGAGGTCGAAAGTACTACCTAGCAAGCTGTAAGAGACTGTCGATTTGAATCTAAAGCAACACCCACTCACCTCAAATAAAACCTTAAGACTGAATTATTCAGATTTACAGTAGTGACTTACTATTTCATCTTCCAGCTCTTGGTCAGCTCCTTCCAAATTTCCCTGGAGAAAAAGAGTCTTTTGCTTCTCTGCTATTTCATATGTTGAAAGCATCTCATTCTCATTGTGGAGTGTATCCAATTTTTTACTAAAATGTACCATCTTCACATCTCGGCTAATGTTTTCGATGATGTCCACAGCATTTTCAGGACGCTCATCGAAGATCTTGGTCAGCATATTAGAGAGATGATCGTATCTACATGAAAAGAGAAAATCCAGGTCATACCCATGTCAAAAGGGAGGACATGTATTAAGATAACAACAAACAAAAACAAAAACCTAATTTGGGCGATGTAAAAACAGAATGCGAAATATATAATGTACACAAACACAAAGCAGTGCAGTCACGACCTCAGAAAGGCCCCCTCTCACTGAGGGAGGAATGGTTTTCCAGGATGGCCTGAGGACAAAGTGGTTTCAAATTATTTCTTGAGAGGAATGATATATGTGGGACACAGCAACCAAAGGCTCTCAGGTAGGACTTAGCAACTATATTAGAGTGACCTGAAGTAGACTTACCTCACTGGGGCAGTAGTTATCATTGAACTAATTATTAGAGATGAACTTGGAGAGATACAATTCTTATCTGTCACAGAGGAAATTTACACAAGTTTCCTTATTGGACAGAGGAGTTTCTATTTAACCTGAGAGCACGTTGACAGACAATTCAGTTCTTAAGTAGTAACTTCACATTATCAGCCACGGAAGCACTGGAAGGCTTACATTAGAGCCACCTGTAAGCCTCTAATCCCTGGCAGAAACTTACTTTTCACAAGCATCTTGAAGAGACGCTCAGACTTCACTATATCTCCATGGTGTCTTTCAAACCCAAGTCTCCATAATTCCTAGGTCTTGCTTCTCTATGCCAAGGGTGCTTAAAGAAGCTAGAAGAAGCCCCACCAATGACCTATTTGGAGTCCTGTGAGGCAAAGGCTTATTAAGCCACTAACTAACTCATACTCATACAGACTTTCAAATATAATTCCATTCACCCATAGAAACTCACACAGAGATACCCACACCCCCTTTTCTTTGTCATACTCCCCCCCCACCCCCAGCCAGGACTTACAGATTTAAGCCCGACTCGCTGCTGCTCCTCAGTAAGTAAGCCTTAGCGTTCCGAATGGCGATCTCAAGCACGCTGGGGGCCGCTTCAGGCTCAGGCTCAGGCTCCGGCTCAGGCTCGGGCTCGGGCTCGGGCTCGGGCTCGGGCTCGGGCTCAGGCTCAGCCTCAGGCCCAGGCTCAGGCCCAGGCTCAGGCCCAGGCTCAGCTTCAGGCTCAGGCTCAGGTTCAGGCTCAGGCTCAGGCTTAGGCTCAGCCTCGGGCTCGGGCTCGGGCTCAGGCTCAGCCTCAGGCCCAGGCTCAGGCTCAGGCTCAGGCCCAGGCTCAGGCCCAGGCCCAGGCCCAGGCTCAGGCTCAGCTTCAGGCCCAGGCTCAGGCCCAGGCTCAGGCTCAGGCTCATCCGGGTCGTAGCTCGCGTTCGCGTCTCCCTCCTGCAGAGTGTCAGCTCTCCGCGCGCTCGGTTGAGAGTTGTTACAGCTCACGTCCTTCGGCTCCCGCTGCTGACTGTCGGTTTGCTGAAACTGTTGCAAGGCGGCCCCCTTTGATCGGCCCGGTTCAGGAGGAGCCGATTCTGCTCCCCCAGACGGCTGTCTCAGGCGGTCACGGGGAGGCCTCCGGGCGTCAGGGGTCGCACTGGTGGTCTTGTCTGTCCGCCCTGGCACGGCCGGGTCCTGCCCCGACAGAGCCAGAGGAGGAGTGGAGGGGGGCTGCTGAGGGGGCGAAGGCGCGCATGACGCACCGGGTTCTGGGAGGCCACCCACGGGCGTGCTGCCTCGACACTGAGGGCTCCGAGGTGGGCAGCTCCGGGGCTGGGGTCCAGCGTGCGGCCGCTGCTCCGACGCCGGGGGTTCCGATGACCCCGGCTGAGGATCTTGGGATGAAGCTGCCGTCATTTCTTCCCATGGCTCCCCTCGTCCCCCCGATGGCTGGTGTTCTCTTTCTTGCTTCGGGGCAGTCGAGCCTTCCATGGCAGGAGTCCAGGGAAACGACGTGCGGATGGCGGGGGCCGGCGCAGGACGGCCGCTTTGCCGGGTCGGCGGAGCGACTTCTGGGGGCTGGTTGCTCCGCACGCGGCAGCGTCCTGTCTCCATAGCAACCCCGGGCAGGGTTCCCGCGGGAGAAACCAGACGCGCACGTCGGTTGCCGGGATTCTCAGGGAGGAGACCAAGACAGAAGGAAATCTAGCTCGGAGATTTGGCGAAGCCTCTGCCCCTCTTCTAGCTCAGCCAATCCCACCTGCGGGCGCCGGCGGGCTGGCAACCTGAGGGGGGCGGGACCGCGGCGCCAGAGGAGGAGGAGCCGTGGAGGGCGCGTGCGTGCGTGCGTGCGTGTGTGTGTGTGTGTGTGTGAGAGCGTGTGTGAGAGCGTGTGTGTGCGTGTGTGTGTGTGTGTGTGAGGGCGTGTGTGTGCGTGTGTGAGTGTGTGTGTGTGAGTGTGTGAGAGCGTGTGTGAGAGCGTGTGTGTGTGTGCGTGTGTGTGTGAGCGTGTGTGTGTGAGAGCGTGTGTGAGAGTGTGTGTGTGCGTGTGTGTGTGCGTGTGTGTGTGAGGGCGTGTGTGTGCGTGTGTGTGTGAGAGCGTGTGTGAGAGCGTGTGTGTGTGCGTGTGTGTGTGTGTGTGTGAGGGCGTGTGTGTGTGCGTGTGTGAGTGTGTGAGAGCGTGTGTGAGAGCGTGTGTGTGTGTGCGTGTGTGTGTGAGCGTGTGTGTGTGAGAGCGTGTGTGAGAGTGTGTGTGTGCGTGTGTGTGTGCGTGTGTGTGTG